GTTTAGTACTACTGTAGTCTTGGCTCCATTAAAACTCATACAATCCTAGGCCCCCCTGAATGTGTTTAATTAACTTTCAATTGTGGGCCCGAAACCGCAGTTTTAATATTAGGAGGCGGGGGGGGGGTTATTAAACGTGCGAAGCGATTAGTGTCTTTAGAATACCAAGAGCCACGAGGTGGGCGAGGGCTCCTTTGGCCGGGTCCTGGCTTGCTTGGAGGAGACGTCCAAGCAGATGGTGGCTGTGAAGGTGGTGAAAGGCAGCTGGGGTGTTTCGAGAGGGATCTAGACTCTTGTTGGCGTGGATCGCATGCTTCTGAAATCTCGTCTAAGCTACAGGACAGGGGTTGAAGTTTAAATCTTGTACATAGCGTGTTTTCTTTTCAGTTTTGTTGATGCAACTTTTCGAACATCTCGCCGCTCATGCCAACCTTTTCGGACATCCAGCATCCCACCCTGACACCCTACTGCATCCGTGAGAGTGGGGAATGCTAAGCCCCGTGCTGTTGGCCCTGTGGGGGCTTGGACATTCAATCACGCCCAGATCTTGGCTTCTTAAAGTGTTCAAGGTCTACGGGTTTGGTCCTTGGAGCGTTACTTGTTAAGGGTTTGAGGGTTGCAGGTTGTGGAGCACACATGGTGGTGGAATGGAGTCAGGGGCTTGCAGGTTCCCAAGCCCGAATACCTGTCCAAAGAGTTCGTCGTGGTGCTAGTGGTCGTGGTTGGCACGGGATAGTCGCTTGAAACACATTGCTTGGAAATACGGAATGATTACCCAGCTCTGGTGCAAGCACCTCGAGCAGGCGTGGCCCGTTACAAGGAGCACGCGCATGCGGAAGCAGAGCTCTTGCGAGAGATACGGAGATGTGCCTTGCACAGGGCGAATTTGAAGCAGTTTTCCAGTTTTTGCGTTTTAACAGTCCAACGAAAATATCGCGACATTCTCAGAGCACCATGACAGCGTGGCAGGACTCGATATTCGGGGTGCAGGTAGGTTTGGGCGGGTGGGGGTTCTGGTTCTTTGGATTCGTAGAGGCTCTGGATGCAGAATGGGTCTCAGGACTTGTTTTACTTTGGGTCATGGTGGGTTCGAAGGGTTTGGAAGTTACGACTTAGCACAATGTAATTGCCGGGCTAGGTGGACTCTCCATGCGCGAGGAAGTGAGTGTTGAGACGTCCAGGTGATCCGGGCCGACAGAGCTACTGTGTCAAGCTGCTGGGGGAGTTTACCCATGACCTGAATCACTGCTGCCTCGTGTTCGCTTCGTGGCGGCAGAGCCGATAACTGCAAAAAAAGGACAGATAGCATAGCGAGGCTTTCGTTTCTATCTGCAT